GACGTATGGTACAGTTTAAAAAACAAAATCATGGGTGTTTGTTTTGTTTTAAAGGCTTCCATACCCCCTGCAGGTAAGACTGACACTCAAGGAGCACACCTGGGGCACCCCGGGGCTTATCCAACAAAGTCACAACTAACCAAAACTGCCGAAGAGCTGCAGTGCCATGGCAAAACCGAAAGATGGTGCCATTCTGGCCGGTCCACGGAGGCTTGGCAGCAAAAGCCATTTAGTAGCAGGGGGCTGAAAGTTTATCAAAACAGTTCCCGCGCTCCAGCTGAGAGGAACAGCAACATCTGCCTCCTCACGGAGGGGCCAAGCCGCACTGATGGCTTTTCAGGACTCTCCGTGAACTTGCTCCACCCCACTTCTGACCCCCCGGCCACCCCCTCAGCCCCACAAGCTCCCCTCCGTCAGTCCTGGGCTCTCGATACGGGTCTATCCTTCCAGCTGGTCTTGTTCCCACCCCACCCCTGGAGACACCAGTTTCCCCTTTCTCTCTTCAGGGTCACTATACTATAAAAAGCCTCGGAGATGCATCAATATGGATACCACCCAAAAAAAAAAAAAAAAACCCTAACAACACTGTGGAATACACTACTTTGCTTTCTTTGGACAAAGGCGCATGGAGGAGGTCCTTAAGGATCGCTAGAGAAAGAAAGGCGGCTAGACCAGCTATGAGACTAGTGCACAGCAGGATCAGTGGTTCTGCGGTGACAAGATTTCCACAAGAATAACCCTGAGCTCTCTACACTCACAGGCACTACACGTATGGCTCTACACAGGGAGGGGCCCTGCCTCAGCGGCAGAACATCTGCTTTGAATGCGAGAGTCTCAGGTTCAAACCCCGGCATCTCCAGTTAAAAGGACCGGGCAGGAGGCGGTGTGAAAGACCTCTGCCTGAGACCCTGGAGACCACCAGTGTTCCCTCTAAGCTGAGTTAGTGTGCGCTAGCTCACAGTTTTTTAGCCTCCGGCTCACACATTTTTGTCTTAGCTCAGGAGGAGGGCTCCAGAGCAAACTAATTTATGCAGTGGCAAAATCGCTCGCTCACAACTTTAATGCCAGTAGCTCACAAAGTAGAATTTCTGCTCACAAGACTCCGCCGCTTAGAGGGAACATTGGAGACCACTCTATGGTTTTCCCTCGGATGGTTGTGGCCCCGCCCCCAACGTGCCCGGCGTTGTCACGTCACTTCCGGGTGACGTGCGCGCTTTGCGCGCACGGTCTAGACACCAGATGGGAGTCCCCCGCTCCAGAGGAATTTACACTTGGCAACCCTAACTGCACAACATGGAAAGCCTAGCGGCTTTCTACAAAATAGCTTAGAGGAGGGGAACTCCTGGAGATTTGAGGGCAATGCCTGGGAAGTGCGGAATTCAGAGGGAACTCAACTGGATGTGATGTCATTCTAGGACTTCTGTTTCTCTATACTATACCAAAGAGTCCACCCTGTAGTCATTGAAAATACTGACCTCCTTAATAATAAATTATCAGTAAGCCATTATACTATAGGGTTGCCTGATCTAGGTTGGGAAAACCTGGGGGTTTTGGGGGTGGAGCTTAAAGAGGAGGGTTGTGGGGAGGGACCTAAACAGGGGATATAACGTCATAGAATCTATCCCCCAAAGTAGCCATTTTATCCCTGGGAACTGATCCTGGTCATCTGGAGATCAATGGTAACAGCCAGAGATCTCCAGGTGCCCCCTAGAGGTTGGCAACCCTAAGCATATTACTTGTTGCCCACATTATTTACCTTTAAACAAGAGCAATTATTGAAAACACTGTATATGCCTACAGTATACACAAGAATTATTATCTAACGCTGCAGATTCTTACCAAAAAAAGTATACTACATGTTTGGAATAAAACCTGTCTTTTATTTCACGCATTCCAAATTTAAAAAAAATAAAATAATTGGAGGCTTTTCGTCTTTTTCAGTGCTCTGAAAAGCTTAAATGTTCCATTGGAAAAAACTGAAAAAAGGGATTTTTTTTTCCATGCTACATATTTTGGAGGAGAAAAACTTTGTCTTAATGAAGAAGATTTGGTTTTATACCCCATACCAACCAGAATGAGTCTCAGAGCAGCTTACGAGCTCCTTCCCCTTCCCACAACAGACACCCTGTGAGGTCGGTGGGGCTGAGAGAGCTCTTTCGAGGACTGCCCTTGGGAGAAGAGCTCTGAGAAAACTCCATGCCCCACCTTGAGGTTGGTAACTCCGTTTTCAAGTGGAGGCTGGACGACCATCTTTCGGGTATGTTGTAGGGCTATCTTTCGGCTATGCTCCTGCAGAGTGCAGGGGGCTGGACTAGATGACCCGCAAGGTCCCTTCCAACTCTAACTTTCTATGATTCTATCGGGAGTGCCCTGGCCTGACAGTTTCTGAGAAAAGCAGCCTTCAGCGTCAGGATCCTCTTCACAGCCCATGGGAGACCCTATCGATCCCGACAGAAATCCATTTCGCACCCAGCCAGATAAAACACAACTGAATTAAATTAGCTGACTTTTCCCCCAAACTTCCCAGTTGGCTGGAAAGCTGGATGAGAAGAAACCTGATCTCTCAGGAAAAGACAAAATGAAAACAAATCACCAAACTGTTTTGGGAGTGTTCACACCAAGAAGGCTTCTTTTAAAAATGCCAGGAGTTGTGATTTATAAAGTTTATCGCTTCAGCGACTAGATCTGCTTAAGCACATTTTTGCACAACGCTGCTGCAAAAACTCACAAAAGTTTGCCATCTCGGGGCATTTAAGCTCTCCCGGCACAGGCTTCCATAAAAAGAGCAGAGTCCACATGAACTGACATGTTACTCACCCCGACTGATTGGAAAAGATGAAATTTTGCAACAGTGAATTACAGTCAGTGTTTATTAAGTCTCTGTTCTGAAAACCACCACAAGGAACCCTTTCCCCCCATCACACCAGAACCAGTCAGCGATCACAGCCAATGTTCCCTCTAAGCTGAGGAAGTGTCAGCTAGCTCACAGTTTTTCAGCCTCCAGCTCACACATTTTTGTCTCAGCTCGGGAAGGAGGGCTCCGGAGCAAACTAATGTATGCAGCGGCCAAATCGCTCGCTCACAGCTTTAATGCCAGGAGCTCGCAAAGTAGAATTTTGGCTCACAAGACTCCACAGCTTAGACGGAACATTGGCTGTGGCTCAGTGGTAGAGCTTCTGCTTGGCACGCAGAAGGACCCAGGTTGAACGTCTGGAATCTCCAGTTAAAAGAGCAGGCAGTGAGTGATGTGAAAGACCTCAGCCTCAGACCCTGGAGAGCTGTAAAGAGGGGCTGTGGCTCAGTGGAAGAGCCTCTGCCTGGCATGCAGAAGGACCAGGCAGGAGGTGGTGTGAAAGACCTTAGCCTGAGATCACGGAGAGCTGTAAAGAGGGGCTGTGGCTCAATGGAAGAGCCTCTGCCGGGCATGCAGGAGGTCCCAGGTTCAATCCCCAGCATCTCAAAAGGACCAGGCAGGTGGTGATGTAAAAGACCTCAGCCTCAGACCCTGGAGAGCTGTAAAGAGGGGCTGTGGCTCAATGGAAGAGCCTCTGCCGGGCATGCAGGAGGTCCCAGGTTCAATCCCCAGCATCTCAAAAGGACCAGGCAGGTGGTGATGTGAAAGACCTCAGCCTGAGACCCTGCAGAGCTGTAAAGAGGGGCTGTGGCTCAGTGGAAGAGCCTCTGCCTGGTATGCAGGAGGTCCCAGGTTCAGTCCCCGGCATCGCCAGTTGAAAGGACCAGGCAAGAGGGGGTGTGAAAGACCTCAGCCTGAGACCCTGGAGAGCTGTAAAGAGGGGCTGTGGCTCAGTGGAAGAGCCTCTGCCTGGCATGCAGGATTTATACTTATAGAAGGAGGAAGGAGGAGATTGGATTCATACCCCGCCCCTCACTCGGAGTCTCAGAGTGGCTTACCATCTCCTTTCCCTTCCCCTCCCCCCAACAGACACCCTGTGAGGTAGGCGGGGCTGAGAGAGCTCTTTTGAGGACTGCTCTTGACAGACCAGCTCTGAGAGAACTGTGGCTTGCCCAAGGTCATCCCGCAGCTGCAAATGGAGGCATGGGGGAATCCAACCCGGTTTTCCCAGATTACAGTCCACGCAGTTAACCGCGGCACCGAAATGGCTCTCACGCCAAACTCTCTGCCTTGTGATAGCAAGGCATCGATGGCCAAAGCCCAAGTAGACACCCCAGCGGAAGAGAGAAGGGCAGGACCAGGGAAATACACGAACACACATTAACCCATCACCTCCTGCCTGGTCCTTTTTACTGGAGATTCCAGGGATTGAACCTGGGACCTCCTGCATGCCAGGCAGAGGCTCTTCTACTGAGCCACAGTCCCTTTTTACAGCTCTCCAGGGTCTCAGGCGGAGGTCTTTCCCGTCACCTCCTGCCTGGTCCTTTGAACTGGAGATGCCGGGGATTGAACCGGGGACCTTCTGCATGCCAGGCAGAGGCTCCGCCATTGAGACACAGCCCTTTCCCAAACACGCCTGAACACACTCGAAGCTGCCTTCTACTGAATCAGACCCTCAGTCCATCGGGGTCCGTCTTGTCTACTCAGACTGGCAGAAGCTCTCCAGGGTCTGAGGGAGAGGTCTGCCTGGTCCTTTCCTTAACTGGAGATGTTGGGGATTGAACCTGGGACCTTCTGCACGCCAGGCAGAGGCTCTGCCACTGAGCCACAGTCCTCCCCATGCATCTAAACACCCGGAACAAGCATTGAAAAGCTATGGATGCAGGCGACTGCAGAAACGGCTGGACGCTTGTTACCCAGACTGGGATATTAGCAAGTAAATGTAGCAAAGGGCAGTCTGCCACTCAAGCCCACAGCAATTCTCCAGCTATCAGTTATCAAGACAAGAGGAGGCTCCCGGCTCCTACGACACCGGCAGCGACGGGGGATCTGTCCGGTTCGCAATTTCATCACCTCTCCTGCCAGCCAGCGGGGTGCCGCCGTCCCCACAAGCCATTTTAGCCCCGGCAGATAACAAACAGCTCACCCTGGGTCCGGCCGGGAGACAAGTGACTGCCCTTCCTGGTGTTCGCGGCGGGCGGATCCGAGCCGAACGTCCCCGGCGAGGCGAAGCTCTCTGCTCTGCCCGGGACGGCGTGGCCCTCCCGACTGCTCCTCCGTGCCTCTTCTCTGTCCCTCTCTTCAAAGCTGGCGGTTTTGTGCGGAGAGAAGTCCGGTCTGGGAGACCTCCCTTGGCTGCCCGGTACCTGCCTGGCGCTGGATGGGACAGCTGCATCGCCACGCCGATTAGGAGCGAGAACCTCTTCTTCCACTACCTCATCCTCCTCTCCTCTGCCAGGGCCGGGATCTCTTTTCCTCCGGGGAAGGCTCGGCTCTCGGCTCTCGCTCGGATGCGCGGGTCCCGGCTGCGGGGCCCCGGCGGGTGAGCGGCTGCCGGGGCCCAGCACCCCGTTTCGCGACAGGGCCTCCCTCACCAGGCCGCTCTTCAAGGCGGCCTCGGCCTCCGAGCCCGAGTCGTTGAGGGCGTCCTCTTCCAGCTGAAGCTTCTGGGCGATGTGGTGCAGGTAGGACCGGAACCTCCCGCTGTGGTGTTTCTGCACCAGCCGGGCGTAAGCGTTCTTCTGGGGCACGGCGGGCTTGCCGGGGCCGTCCTTGGGAGAGTGCGTAGGGGCACCTCGGGCAATCCCTTGAGCTTCCATTTCCCAGGAATATCACCTGTTGTCAGAGGAAGACAAAGATAAGGTGCTGTTTGGTGGCGGCGTTCCCTCTAAGCTGTATTTCAGAGCCAGTTTGGTGTCGTGGTTAAGTGCGTGGACTCTAATCTGGGAGAACCGGGTTTGAATCCCCCACTCCTCTACTTGCACCTGCTGGATGACCTTGAACAAGCCGTAGTTCTGATAAGAGCTGTTCTTCAAAAAGAGGAGTTTTTGTCAGAGCTCTCTCAGCACCGCCTACCTCACAGGGTATCTGCTGTGGGGAGGGGAAGGGAAAGGAGATTGTAAGCCGCTCTGAGACTCCCTTGGGTAGCGAAGGGCAGGGTATAAATCCAATCTCTTCTTCTTCTTAGCTGAGTTAGTGTGAGCTAGCTCACGGTTTTTTAGCCTCCGGCTCACACATTTTGGTCTTAGCTCAGGGAGGATGGCTCCAGGGCAAACTAATTCGTGCCGTAGCCAAATAGCTCACTCACAGCTTTAATGCCAAGAGCTCACAAAGTAGGATTTTTACCAGGACTCCAGAGTGTGGAGGGAGCCTTGGTTGGGGGGGGGGGGGGGAGCTGGGAGGAGAGACTTGGAAAAGGTGCAAACAAGGGGAACGAACCGGATTAAGGGGATGGAACACTTTCCCTATGAAGAACTTAGAGAACTTAGGGCTCTTTCGCTTGGAGAAACGACAGCGGAGGGGTGACATGACAGAGGCTTACAAAATTACGCATGGGATAGAGGACGCAGAGAAAGAAGTACTTCTCTCCCTTTCTCACAATACAAGAATTCGTGGGCACGAAGCTAAGCAGCGCCGACCCTGGCAAATACTTGGATGGGAGACCTCCAAGGAATACCAGGGCCGGGACACAGAGGCAGGCAATAGCAGGCCACCTCTCTGAACTTCCAAGCCCCACTAGGGGTTGCCAGAAGTCAATCATGACTTCCAGGCACACAGTACATACACACATACAGACAAAAAAAAAAAACCCCACCAAAAATATTTTTTTAAGAATAAGAACTCATGGGCACTCCACGAAAATGATGAGCAGTAGGTTTAGAACTGACAAAAAGAAGTCCTTCTTCACCCAAAGAGTAATTAGCACGTGGAAATCACTTCCACAGGAAGTGGTGGCAGCTACAAGCATAGACAGCTTCAAGAGGGAATTGGATAAACACATGGAGCAGAGGTCCGTGAGTGGCTGTTAGCCACAAGAAGAAGAAGAGAAGAGATGGGATTTATACCCCACCCTTCACTACCCAAAGGTGTCTCAGAGCGGCTTACAAACTCCTTTCCCTTCCCATCCCCACAACAGACTCCCCACAACAGACACAAGATACAGATGCAACACGTTGTGTCTGGGGGCAGTGATGCTCTAACGTTCACTTCCAAACAGTAAAAATATCTCTGCAAATACAAGGGGGAAGACCTGAGAAAGAACTTGAGTACTAGAGATAAACCTTATTTTATTCGAAACATTTATTAGCCTCCTTTCCTCCATACAAAGATCAAGGCAGCCTACAGGATAGATCAAATTCACAAAATAAAACCCATTAAAGACATAAAATCCAAACACTTAAAAATCACAATTCGGGATAGCTAATGACTTAACCAAATGCAGGCCTAAATACGACCGACGGCCTCCCAAAGACTGAAAGGGTGGGTGCTAGGTGCACCTCCCTGGGTAGGTTGTTCCAGACACGTGGGGCAGCCACTGAAAAGGCTCTGTCTCTTCTGTACCCACCAAATGAGCTTCTTTGATCGATGGGACAGTCAGGAGAGCCTCTCTCTGTGATCTTAATTCCCAGGCAGGAACATATGAGAGAAGGCGGTCCTTCACACACCCCAGTCCCAAGCCATGTAGGGCTTTAAAAGCCACAAGACCCAGTTGCTTGTTAGAGAAGTCCTCCTTGCTTGTATGAATCACTTCCTACTAGAGCACCCTGGTAAGGCTGTCCTCCGCCCTTCTGAAAAGAACATCAGAAGAACTCTGCTAGAGTGGTCCATCTGGTCTAGCATCCTGCCTCACATACTGGACAACCAGTTCCCCTGGAGGGCCAACAACAGGGCAGAGAGGCCAAGGCCTTCGTAAGAACATCAGAAGACCCCTGCTGGATCAGACCAATAGTCCATTTAGCCCAACATCCTGTCTCACACAGGGGCCAACCAGTTCCTCTGGAGGTCCAACAACAGGGCACGGAGGCCGAGGCCTTCACAAGAACCTCAGAAGAGCCCTACAGGAACAGACCAGTGGTCCATCTAGTCCGGCATCCTGCTTCACACAGCGGCCAAACAGTTCCTCTGGAGGGCCAACAACAGGGCATAGAGGCCGAGGCCTTCACAAAAACATCAGAAGAGCCCTGCTGGATCAGACCAGTGGTCCATCTAGTCCAGCATCCTGCCTCACACAGCAGACAACCAGTTCCTCTGGATGGCCAACAAGAGGGCATAGAGGCCGAGGCCTACATAAGAAGAGCCCTGCTGGATCGGACCGGTGGTCCATCTAGTCCAGCATCCTGCTTCACACAATGGCCAAACGGTTCCTCTGGAGGGCCAACAACAGGGCGCAGAGGCCTAGTCCTTCATAAGAACATCCATCTAGTCCAGCATCCTGCCTCACACAGCGGACAACCAGTTCCTCTGGAGGGCCAACAAGAGGGCATAGAGGCCGAGGCCTACATAAGAAGAGCCCTGCTGGATCGGACCAGTGGTCCCTCTAGTCCAGCACTTTGAGCACTGTGGTTGCCTCCTGCTTGTTCCACCACCTTGGCTTTCAATCCCTTCATCCTCCACTCCTGAACCCTGCTGCAGCGCACATCCTCTTTCTCCACTCTGTGCACACTCCCTTGCTGAATTTTCACACTTCGCGGAGGTTCAAGTCCAGTAACACCTTAGAGAACGACAAGACTTCCAGGATATGGACTTTTGACAGTCAAAGCTCCCTTCATCAGATACAAGTAGGAATGGAGATCCTTGGGCCCTTATATCCTACTTGCCATGAAGGGAGCCAAGGATGCAAAGGAACAATGCAAACACCCCTCCCACCTTCTGTTTGTGATATAAGGGCTCAGGGATCTCCATTCCTACTTTGTATCAGACAAAGGGAGCCTTGACTCTCTAATCTCGTACCCCGAAAATCTTGTTGGTCTCTAAGGCGCTACTGGATTCGAATATAGCTCTTCCACGGCAGACCAACATGGCTACCCTCTGAAACTGGCTTTGACAGTTCTGCCAACCTGTTGATTAAAAGGGGCAAAATACAAGGACCCCAATGCGATTGTGGTGTGGCCCGCCAAACTATTTTCCATCTGTCGCAGGAATGTGAGCATCGTGCTTTCGCAGGAGATGTGACAGAGCTCACTGTACGCTCCGCAGCTGGAATTGAGTGGATTGAAAATTTGGATATTAGTATTTAGGGGGATTGCCCAATCGGTCCGCATAACCATTATATCTACTTGGTTACATATTTTATATTATAGTGTTCCTTCTAAGCTGAGTTAGTTTGAGCTAGCTCAGTTTTTTTAGCCTCCAGCTCACACATTTTCGTCTCAGCTCAGGAAGGACGGCTCCGGAGCAAACTGATGCAGCAGCCAAATCTCTTGCTCACAGCTTTAATGCCAGCAGCTCACAAAGTAGAATGTTTGCTCGCAAGTCTCCACAGCTTAGAGGGAGCACGGATGCTTGTGTGCATTATTATATGCTTGTGTGCATTATTATATGTCCGTGTGTAATTCTGCCATACGATAAATCTGAAACAATCAACACGGAAGCTGTATACATGACTTCAAATTCTGCAGCAGACGCAGCATGAATGCCTGCAAAAACACCCTTTGCTCAGAGTTTGGGAAACGTCTTCCTGCCCGGGCATATGCCCACTTCCGAGGACAGATCCAGGGCTATGAGCAGTTCCTTTGCCAGTCCTGCTCGTCAATATCCTCAAACTGGAAAAGACTTAGGGCTTGAAACTGACCCCCCCCCCATTCTTCCTTAATCTGGGACACAGGGGAACAGAACCGGTTGGCCCATCAGCTTTTCCCTCTGCACCATCTCAGAAGACACACAATTTTAAGTGCAGCAGAAGTCATCCAGGAGTGACCAGCTTATGACCCGAGCATTACATGTGGACGTATTCCAGGGAGGGAGGGGGAGAGAGAGAGATGTTTTGGGGCCAAATTCTTCCATCTCGGCCACGCACAAATCATCTCAGCTCACTCTGCCCCTCAGAGAAGCTCTGCCAAACTAAAGCAGCGGACATCATGCAAAAACAAGAAGCCCGATCGCGTCCACCCTCGGGCTCTCCAAAAATAACCGTGGCTTTTTTCCCCCTCGACTGCTTACAATGCTTTCAACAGGAAGGGTGGAGATTCCCTTGTCAGTGGCAGACTCCTGAAGCTCAGCGTGGCTTCTCCTTTGCACGACGACCGCCACCCCTGACCCATCATTCCCCGCACACACACTCAGGCGCCGCTCCCCCCGACAAGACTATCTGCGGAGCCACATAAACAGAAGACAGTCCCCTGCCCCAAAGAGCTTACCAAAGGATGTAGTGACAGACACAGGCATAGACAGATTTAAAAGGGGATTAGCCATATTCATGGAAGATGTCTATCGATGGCTACAAGCCCTGGTGACTATAGGGAATTTCCATGTTCAGAAGCCGTCAGTTACTGAATCCTAGAGCCAGGAGGCAACATCAGGGGAAGGCCTCGGCCGCTGTGGCCTGTTGTTGGTCATCCAGAGGAACTGGTTGGCCCCTGTGTGAGACAGGATGCTGGACTAGGTGGACCACTGGTTTGATCCAGCAGGGCTCTTCTGAGGTTCTTATGAAGGCCTCGGCCTCTCTGCCCTATTGCTGGCCCTCCAGAGGAACTGGCTGGCCCCTGTGTGAGACAGGATGCTAGACTAGATAGACTACTGGTCTGATCCAGCAGGGCTCTTCTGAGGTTTATGAAGGCCTCGGCCTCTGTGCCCTGTTGTTGGCCATCCAGAGGAACTGGTGGCCAGTGTGTGAGACA